GCTGGGGGATTGAACCGCGGTCTCTGTGCTTTGCTAAGCTTGTTCTAAGTAGGTGCTTTAGACCACTGAGCCATCTCACCAGCCCTTTCTTTTCTTTTTAAAAGTCCCAGTTGGATGATACATTGTATGATCACACTACACACAACTGCTTCTGCTATGACCCCGCTGTGGATGGGTTTTCACACAGAAGCCAGAGTGATCATTTGAAAGTTAAGTCCAACCTACTCACTTCTCTACTCAAAACCCCCTAACAGGGGGGTGAGATAGCTCAGGGGGCTAAAGTGCCTGCTTAAGCAAGCTTAGGCAAAGTTAGACAAGTTTAGGCAAGCTTAGGCAAGCCACAAGAACTATGGTTCGATTCCCAGCACCATAGGGCGGGCTGAGCCCAGGCAGGTGTGGTTGTGCACACCTGTAATCCCAGCACTGGGGAGGCTGAAAGTAGGAGGATCACTACAAGTCTGAGCTGTGTAGTGAGATCCTTTCACAACCAAATACTTAAATACATACACACATACATACATACATACATACATAATAAAACAATTGTAAGTCTGTTTATTACAGTGCCTTTTCCTGGAATTTACTGAAGGTGTTCTTCACCAGGGAAACATAACAGATAAAACGTGGTCATGAACATTATGGAACAGCATACAGAATGCAGAAATAATGAAGTACGTGTACATGTAGAAACATGGATAAATCTTAAAATGGTGTGGAATGAAAAAGAATCAGAATAAAGTTTATATTATGATACTATTTATGTAAATTTAAAAAACAGACACAAAATAGTGCTGCCTGATTTTTAAGTATAAATGTAAAGTTTTAAAGAAACATAAAACTTGTTTGGGATGCGGTGGGGGATGGAAAAAAAATGAAGAGGAGCAGTTCACACCCATGATCCCAGCATTCTGGGCAATTGAGGCAGGAGGATCAAACCTTTAATCCCAGCCCAGCAATTTACATCTTACTAAGACCCTGTCTCAAGACAAAAACATAACAAGGGCTGGAGATGTAGCTCAATGTGAAGGTCCTAAGCTGAGCTGGCCACTCAAAAAATAAACAAATAATAATAAAAAAGAATCTAAAACGCATTAGTACAGAAAATCTCCATACCTTTTTGGTCTTCTGATATTAAACTTCAAGGTATTACAAAACAGAACATTAGATGTCACAGATCACAATTTAGTATAGTACTTTTTTGAGAAATTTTCAAGCAATCTAACAATATTTAGTTAATAAATTATTGTATAATGCAAAATTTTCATACGTGAGTTTACTAAGTCACCTATATTTTATTAAAATAAATAAGTTCTCAGGCATTGATGCAATACGCTTGCTACTCATAGTGGTAATATACCCAGTTGTTTCTAGAGTCACAATTATCTTTTGCACATAAATAAAGACATAAATTTATGAGGAACGGCCTCAGTCTAGGAATATGAATAGGTAGAGGAATGAAGGATTAGTTCACTTGTAATGACTATTTAACTTGCTGGACTTTTGTGGTTTTAATTTTCTTCTTTGTACTGATCCATAAAACCATACCATAAAGCAACTTCAAAGTAAGAAGAGACTGTGCTCCTCCTGTGGTTTCTAAATGTAAGTGCTAAGTGACATCTGGAAAGTATGAACAGCCAGCCAAATCCACAGAATTACTGTGAACAAAACCTTTAGTTCTCAAGTCACCAGCAGTCATTAATAAGTCTAGTCACACAGGGACTGACCCAGACAGGCCCAATGTTTGAGCTCCACCTAGAAATACTGACATTGTTCTGTTTACTCTTTATGGGATACTGTGTCAAGAAAACTGTCAGTTCTTTGGCTACTGAGGAAAATCACAACAGATTTCTATAGCTTGAAAATATGCAAAGCAATGTACTTGGGTAAAGGCTACTTGATCTCATTGTCATCTTCAAATGAGAAACTGGACATAGATAATTCACCTAACTTTTACATGATCCAGTTAATTACAAGTTTAGAAATGTAAATTATTGTCTTGTACTCACTATTTTAGGGAAAAGTCCTCCATGCCTAGTCATCTTGTTTTAGATTTTCGGAGATAAGCAAAAATGTGAGTCCTTAAACACAATTTTGTTTTTGTTTCTGTGGTACCAGGGACCAAACTCGGTGGACCTGGCACCTGTCAGACAGGCGTTTATGTCACTGAGCTATCTCCCTGCCCTTAAGCGCAAATATTTGAAGTAGCTTACTTTTACTCTACTGATGACGTAAACAATTCTCTGTAAACTCCATAGGAAAAATTACCTTTTCTATGTATTTACAGTCATTACTACAGATAAAAGTCGACTGAATCTGAGAATTCGTGGAATTCTTGACAGCTGTTAGATAAATGGAAGGGTTTCTAAAATTTGTTTGTTTGTTTTTTCCAGAGAGCAGTTTAAAACCAGTCTGCCGAAAGAGGCAGCCACCTGGTGGTGGCAGAGAGCACTGCAGCCACTGTATCCTAAACACACTCACTGAACCACACAAAGCGCAGCTCCTCAGTCCACAAGGAAACTAGCGCGAGTGACAGGTGCAATTACAAGCATCCTCTGAAAGCTCCGTTTGCAAGGTGCAAGCAATAATTCCACTATCTTTTCATCTAATATACCACTGTATCCATGTAATCAATATAAAAGCTGCACGCCTTCGGGCCGCGTCTCAGGCGATCGGGCACTCGGGGCTGCGGCCAGCGGCTCGAAGCTTCGCCTCCGGGGCATTTGGCCAGAGCGTGTTACGGCCCGAAGGCCTGCCAAGGACACGGGCAGGGGGCCCAGGGTCCCCTCCCGCGGGGCTCGGGCGCCCAGCTCCGTCCACGCGACCCCACCGTGCCTGGCCTCCAGGCCGAGGCGTCCGGGGTCTCGGGATCAATTTCCAGGTAGGAAAGTGGAGACTGGACGAGGCAACCCCGCCCAACCCCGGGACCTCCCGCGTTCTCCGGCTGGGAACAGCGGGCGCAGAACTGCTCCGAGACCCCGCTAAGACGCCACAAACTCCTCCCAGGAGCCCTCGCGGGGTCTTCCGGCGGACCCCTGGCTCTGCTGATTGGTCGGGGTTGCCGTTACGTCACGCACGTCACTCAACCTGGTCCCGCCCTTCGCCCCCTACACCAAGGTCTCAGGGGCGGAGCGCCGGTTTCCTAGGCAACCGCAGTTGAGTACACACTAGATCTGGGGCTAGGTGGACTTGTCTTGGCTGCCCCAGACTCCTCCTCTCTGGATAAGGTGAGCTGTGGTCGCCTGTGGGTCTCAGGCCTTCATCCCCGGTAGGCAGGCATTGGGACGTTTGCTATCAAGAAACCTGAAGGGTGCAGTGCAGGTAATAATCATGAGCCACAGGGAGGGTGACTGAAGGAGCTGAAGAAAGGAAGGTTACCACAGTCGCCTTTGCAGCCCTTTCGGCGCCATGTAGGTGTGGGACTGGGAGGACCAAGCGCTCAGGGCCCACCTGGCGCTGCTCATCGGGGTGATAAGGGCATTGGAATATGGTGATAATTGGCGGGTTCTGTTCCCTTTATCCCCAAGGAAGGAAATAATTGGATCACATAGGACTTCTATTTTGCAGTAAAGAAATTTGGTTCTCTCAAAAGACTCCTTACCCAACTCTGATGGCAGACGGAAACGTGGTCCTTTTTGGTCTGATTGTTATTACGCTCTTAATGGCCATGCATAGCAAAATTCAAACCATATAACAAACTTGCAGTGAACAACTAGCGTGTGCCAGGCACTAGGATGGGTTCATAGTTCTTTCCTTTAGTGAACAGATAACTGTTAGGTATGGTGGGTGATGTATGTAGGGCAGGTGCTGGCCTAAAACAGTCACAAGGAGGATGCTAACTCTTTAGAGAGGACTGCATTCTTAAGGGTATGTGGAGTACATCACAAAATCAAGGGGAAAAGACCTTTCAGGGAGTGAAACAGATTATGCCAAAGTATGGAGACATCTCACCCGATGCACAGGGCCAGAGTTGTGTCCGAGCTTGGGTTGCTCTTAGAGATCAAGGTTGATGGGCATGAGAGACGGGCAGGAGGCAGAGCACAATGGCCATGAATGCCTGCTGGGTGGAGTAGCGTGAGCAGAGTTACCTTTCAGAAGGTGGACTGCCCCAGGGTACGGAGGATGGACTGGGGGGACACGACAGTGGGAGGACATGGAGTGGACTGGAGGAGATGAGGCCCTGGAGGAGGGCAGAGGCCCTCGGAATGGAGAGAAGGGAAGTTTATGAGGAATTAAGGGAAGGATTTAATGAGTGAGTGAAGCTGGAGGAAAGGTTGAGGGTAATTCCAAGGCTTCTGACTTGGACCGTAAGAAGGATGGTGACAGATTTATCAGAGAAGGAATACACAGAAAGAAGTGAGCTGGAGGGAAAATGCAATGAGTCCCATTTTAGATGTGACACACTCAGAACTTTCTGCATGGGCAATTGCAGTTATTGCCCTAGAAAGAGGAAATAAAGATTAGTGGGGTTTTTTTAGCAGGAAGCAAGTAGTTATTTGAAATATAGTTTTTAAATAACAAGAATAGAGAAACTAAAGAGAAAAAAAAATCAAAGACAAAGCTCAGTCATCAGCATTGCCAAATGCTACATCAAAGTCAAACTGAGAACCGAAACACATCCAGTGTTTGGCATTTGGGACACTATTATTGACCTTATTTCTATGAAAGCAGCTGTGGTGGCTTGAAATGTCTTCCTATTATAGTAGGTTGACTACTGAAAAATGTTGCTAATGACTATATATATATATATATATATACACACATATATGTATATATATACATATATATGCTTTTCTGTGAAAATATTTAACCATTCACAGTAGCACATAGTGTAAGGGTCGAGTCGCCGCGAAGGAAAAC